AAGGGGCCCCTAATGCCACCCAACAAGGTGCTAATTCCCAATTATCAGAAAGCGAAAGGTACTCAAAGACTTGTCAGACACTAGCTCATTGATGCTTATCCAGATGACATGAACAACACTTTGTCTACAGAGCTTCAGCAGTTCCATTCATATGTTCTTCATAAGTTTAAAACAACCAAGAAAACATCTTTCACTCACATGGAACTTTACAACACAATTACAGAAGACAAACTAGAGAGTGCCTTTCCAAATGTTGAAATTGCCTTAAAGTGATTACGTCACGAATTTCTAGCACCATCAAGTAGTATATTTGTGTGTTATTTGTACAAAATAAAATGTATGAAAATACAATTAGTGTTTCTGTTTATTTTTCATGCCTTTTTATACCTTCTTTATATGCCTTAATTTGCCGGTGAAAAACATAGAGACGTCAGTATACTGGGGGAAGTGTTAGACAACAGAAATTACCAAATCGTCTAGATTTTTGCAAATTTAACCAATGTAAAAACATTTTTATCAGGTGAGAGTTTGAGGATATATTTAGTAATGTTAGTTCTTACTTTTATTGTAAAAAAATGGCAATTTTTTTTTACAAATTTTACCATGGAAAATTCGTGACGTAGTCCCTTTAAGAATATTTTTAACATTAATGGTCACCAACTGCACAACAGAGAGGTCTTTCTCACAACTGAAACGTGTAAAAAAACAAATAGACTGACTCGTAGTCAGAATGAAAGTGTACATGCATGTACGCTCAAAATTGCCTCAAATACCATCTCCTGCGATCTACATTTTAAAAATTTTCTGGGGGAGGACCCCCATACCCCCCCGCCTGTTTATCACCACCCTCCTTGAAATCCTACATAAATTTTTGTACTGCTGGAACCTGCATTGTATATCTGGTCAGACAGGTCAACAACTAAAATGGACTGGGTCAGTGTGGAAAGGAGGGGGCACCAAGATTGGTCAGTGCTTAAGGCACCAGTGAGCCTTAATCCGCCCCTGGCTAGAACCCTAACCCTATCCCTAAGGCCTAACCATAACCCTAAACCTAACCCTAAACCTAATCCTAACCCTAACCCTAACCCTAACGCAAAAAAGGGGCTTGAACGACCGACGGCTACCGTACCTCCAGCCACTGCGAAACTTCTGCTGATTTATGGGAATTTTTTCGTAAGTATGCTGTAAGTGTATCATGTATGTATGGCCCCGCCATATGATTTCCCAGTGTGATACCTTTAGTTTACCTTTAGTGAAAACTTGAGGCTTTTTCTACTGCGATCCGCAGAGTAGATCTGTCAATTTGATGACGTTTAAAGACTAATATTTATGAGCTTATGAGATTAGAGTGAAGACGTTGCCACAAAATAAAATATTGTACCTCGCGCACCTTTTGGAGCGCCCCCTGGCGATCATAATACGATCTCGCGCGAAACCACGAGACTTCCTTTTCTAAAGTGGTTATGGTTGCGTAAAAGGATACCGAGATGAAGGCAAGTTGATTGCGATATACTCCTCTTCCGATCCACTTTTAAGAAAAATACACAGTCTCCTAATTAGTAGAGAAACGTGACTATATGTAAATCACTACTTTATTATTAATGTCTGAGTTTTTAAACCAGATTCATTGCGATCTTTTTCGGCCTTTCCTCATGTTTTCATTCGTATCGGCGAGTACGGCCGAAATATGTTGGTGTATGTTGTTGCCTACGTATGAGTGTTAAGTGTTGACTGACGCACAGAAACTCCGAATAAATAGTTATTCGATCGTTGTATCGTCTGCGATTACCCCATTAAATGGGATTCGATATGTAGCACGTTTCTCGCGACTAAATATTTTGGTAAATACGTGTACCTCGGACGCTGTCGATGTTTACCAAGTGAGCATTGATGACAGTTGCAAAAATACACTGAATTGATCACGCTGTGTCACCCCTGGCGACAACAGGCGCAACATTACCACAATCTTATTACATCACACGAGTTTCAATAACACCCAGCACGTCCTAGAACTTGGGCGTACAGAGTGGTTCGCATTCGTTCGGATTCTATCAAATGTCCTAACTACCTCGAACACTGTTATCTAACCGTTGTTTTGTTGATCCGCTTGCAGTTGAACATATCCTACCCAGCGACCGGAGCTCAGCAGCTGATAAAGATCGACGATGAGCGCAAGTTGCGCGTCTTCTACGAGAAGCGCATGGCGCACGAGGTCGCGGCAGACGCACTCGGAGACGAGTGGAAGGTGAGTCCCCTCCCCCCCCCGCCACAATTCCTCGACGAACACGTAGGGGGCCGGTGACGACGGTAGAACACTGTGCACAATCCTAGCTTGGGACCCCTGTCTTCATTTTCGCAAATGTGCCAAACTAATCCGGGGTGCTAAACTAGGATTGTGCCTGTATATTTTGTGAACGTCTGGTCCTAAGGTGAATACAAAGGGGGCCAATGGCGACAGTAGAACAGTGGAGCGACATGCGCTCCAGGATCTTCGCTACTTTTAACACTACAAATATGCTTTGCGATTAAGTGTAGGTTAGGGATAGCGGTAGGGCTAGAGTTGAGTAGAGGTTAATAGTCGATTAATGTTAACGGTAGCGAAACTCTTGCTTGGTGTACTGTTCTGGAGGCGATCCCTCAACGAACAGCACACGTTCCACCGTCCACGGAGCAGAACCCTTCAATTACAATCGTCTCTAAACGACTCCGGTTTGAGTTATTCCGAACTTCCAGAATGGTTTCACGAAGTCGGAAAGGGACAGGCTTTTCTGCCGGTGCAATACATTGTTGAGCCGATTGAAGGTTCGTTGTGCCTACGGAAAACTAATACGCTATTAGGGTTACGGTAGTGTTCGATAATCAGTTACGCACCTAATGAAGGTGGTCTGCTCCAGCGAAAAAAATACACAGGAGCAGCGAGCGATTTCGCTCCCGTCAGCTTTCAAAGTGCTCTGGTAACAACAATTACGAGAGCGAAAATGTTGGAAGATATGAGAAAAAATCGCTCCCGTGGCGCCGGCAGCGTTTGAAATTAGTTCCGACCCGGAGGCCCGAGCCCACCAAGTTTTTACTCAGGCCACCATCTCTACGAAACTCCCGGTCCTCCTGCCCGGCACTTTTTCCCCTCATATTACGCTGAAATACTACGGTTAGCACAATACAGTTAGCACAATACGCCGCACCGGCTATCTCGACGTAGATAGCCGTCGTTCACACATAGGCCAAGAAATCGGTATTTAGCCGGCTCACACGAGCGCAAAATGCGCCGATCGCAGAAATACGGTAATCTAACAATCCGCGTATTTGATTAAATACGGCAGGCTTACCCAGACCCCGGAATAATTTGCCGTGCTTGAAATACCGGAATATCTTGGAGACCGCGATTTCCTCGTGTGAACGAGAAGTGATGAGACTGGTCCGACGCCCGACAGTTCCAGGGTAATGCGAGTGCGAACTGTCTGAGCGCGGGACGCATCGTAGTATTTTATCGGCAGTTGGTGCGCATTGCATTGTTGATTTCGCGGGCATTGTTCGCTTGATTGTTTACAAGCCAGCTCGCAGACGCAATATACCGATATTTTCTGGAGCCGCGAATCAGCATCGTGAATCGCTCGGCCGCGTATTTGTCTCAGATCGAGTATTTCGCAGCAATACCGTATTTCATTATAATAGCAGAGGTCTGCGTGTGAACGAGGCTGATAATGTATATACAAGCTAGGAGGCAACTCGGAGAGCAGCAGACCTCCACCAATAGCAGCTGATCTGATCACTCGTTGAACAAAATTTTTATTAATTAATTGGAATCGCGATGACGACAAACATGTATATCAATTCTAAGTACCCGATTTTCTGACGTATCCTGAAAATTTAATTAATAATTAATTATTGGGATCGACCAACACCAAAAAAATTCCGATCAACTTCAAGTTAGCCCATTCATGAATCTCTATCCTGAATTTTAATGACATCCGTCTAACTTTTCAGTTAGGCTGTACACAAACAAACTATAGATTGATATATAGATATTCACTGAGATGGCGAAGCGTTGCAGGTGTGGAGCGACTGTGTGTTGCCCTTAGCCTGTGGTTGCGTGTTTGTAAGATCTACAGCCAGCGCACGCCTAGCGGAAGTGAAACTGAACGTCTGATTTCAGAACCACACGACCACAAACCCAACACTCAAACACACGCCAGTGAAAACATAACCTCCGTCCAAGCCTGGCGAAGGTAAATATATTATATTATATGTCTGTGGGTGTGTGCCTGTGTGTGTGTGCTGTGTGTGTGTGATGATGTGTGTGTGTGTGGTGATGTGCTGTGTGTTGTGTGTGTGGTGTGTGCGTGCGTGTGTGTCGTGGTGCTGTGCCGTGCGTGTTATCGTTATAGCCAATACAACGGCACAGTATCTAGTGCGCACCGAGTTCATAGGCTACAGCAGCAGAGAAGCAGGAGGGGTTTCCTCTGTATCTTCGGACATGTTCGGAGAAGACAGAGACAGTGACTCTTATCTCTGTTTCATAAAACCCGAGGTACCACAAGTTCAGGCGCAAAGACTCGTGCAAAGTCACAGAGTCAGGTCAGTGTTGCCACGAGGGCATTGGACTATCAGATGGGTTAATACCAAATCGGATCTTGTCCATTGCTTCGTTGCAGCCGAGCTCCTTATGTGCGCTTATGCAAGCGTTGAACGTTGCACGACACGCGTGTACGTGCGACGCAATGTGCACACACGGGCGCGCACGCGCATAATAGGACTTTTGCCCACAATAGCATTTCACTTTGCATACCGAGTTTTGTATACCAAAATAATTGTTATAGTTTTATCTCGTCTTTGAACCGTCATATTCCGCAATGCAGTGTCTATTATATTAAGAACAATGCAACAATATGCATGTAGTATATATTGCGAAATGGTATACATACGCATAGTTTAGTTTGTATAATATTATGATGTTCGCGTGGAATATCAATCATGCAGAGTCACCTGGTGGACATTTAATGCGACGATAGGTATTCATTCTATTTACACCGATGATACGGCATAACCTGGTCGTAGGAATCAATGAGAGCATCATAGACGCGCTTAACCGCTGGGAAACGGCATATAATCGCATTCCACGTAAATCACCAGCTATGAAAACAGGTGGAGCAAAATCCAGTGCTTGACTCAGCATGGTAAACAGCATAGATATAGAATAGATATTCTATATCTATGGTAACAGATAAGACTATTGGTTCAGCAACTTTATTTTGACTGAAATTGTATTTTAATTGTTATTTTACGTTTATAAACTTTAAATTGCAGATTAAAATTAGAACGGCATCACTTGAATCTTTTAATATAACAAATTGTCTGATTACATTAATTTTCTGGAAACTCTCCTCTAAGTTTCATCTATAGATTTATATTAAAATTGATCAGAAACAAAACGGTGAAGAAGATACTCCCTCCCAAAATTGTAATACATTGTAACCATATTGTGATACAAGGTACATACTCAAGATTGAATAACTTGGTGAATCATGTATAGTATGAATGAATGAATGAATGTATGTATGTATGAATGTATGAATGTATGAATGTATGATGACATGAATGTAATGTAATGTATGAATCAATGTTATAGTAGACTTATTCACACATTAAGAGAGCCTTAGATAGGTTATGGTTGCAAGGCACTATCCGTCTTACGTAGGAGCCGATCGCAATAATTATCAAATGGACCGATCTTCACCGTCATTATATTTCTCAGTATCATCCACATTTGGGCGAGTCCAACAGATCCAACAATCACACGGCACAAGCAGATAGGTAGGCCCGTCTGACGTAAGGCCCGCCGACCCACGATCCCACCCCAACCCCTGTGTCCCCGCCCCAATAACAAACACACAAACAAGCAAAATATGACAAAACCCGAGAAAAATTCTCTTCAGTCGTTCATTTATTGACGTAAAGCTGTACAGACTACCAGTCCCTCCTCCTCACTGGGAGCCGACCGACGTCTTCGACTCCCGCATGGAGGCGGGCGGGACGCCCGACCTCTTCCTCTTCTTCTCGCGCTTCTCTCTTGGCTTCCTTTGCGCGCTGAGCAGAAGCTTTGGCGTATTCGGCGGCGCTCCTCCTTCTGCTTGGCGGCGCCGTCTCTTCCTGAGCGCGATGCGGTGGCGCTTGCGCTGCAGCACGACGGGAGTGACGAGTCTCTGAATCTTGGGCGCCTTTGTGCGGCCCGCCTATGCCTGCTCGCGAGAGAAAGGGGAGAGATTACATGTTATGCGATATGTCTATTATATATGATACATGATATGTTTATTATATATGTTACATGAT